GGGGGGGGGGGCTAACCACAAGGGGGTGTGCACACGAGGGTAAGCATGAGAGAGCAGGAAGGGTTCGAGGCAAAGGAGATGACAACAGCGATATGGCTTCGTTTCCCTTGCACTGCAATGGGAGAGGAAAACTCCGAATGTTACAGTGCCCAGATCTGAAAGGAGAAGAATCCAGACGCACCGTGCAGACACTGAGAGGAGAATGTGGACTGCGGCAGTGCCAGGACACTGAGACGTAAACCGAGGCTACAGCACCACAACACTCCAGCAACTGTGCAGCCCTCGGGCTCTCCCCAAGGCAGGAAGTGGGGCCACCCCACCCCACCCCCCAACCTTGCCTTCTGTTGCTATTCTGGAGTGCTGTCACGTGGGCTGCAAGCTCACAGCTCCCCGACATACAGGTCCCGTGCCATCCTCACAAGTGTCCCCATCTTTGAGCCCTTTGTTGCAGCCACTGTGTTACTCTATCTCATTGAAGGTCTTCCTCTTTGTCGCTGACCCTCCACTTTGCCAAGCAGGATGTCTTTCTCAAGGGATCGGTCACTCCAGATAACATGTTCAAAGCACTAGGGATCAAGTCTTGCCCTCTCATTTCCAAAAAGCATTCTGGCTGTACTTCTTCTAATTTGTATAGTCTATATTCTTCACCAACACCATAATTCAAAGGCTGATCTACATAAGGTCAAGAGGCAGTTGTTCAAACAGAATAATGGAATATTTAGAGGTTTAACAGCAGGAGCAGAGTGTGTTAAAGTTAGGAGCCCTGGTGGCACAGTGACCATGCATTGGGCTGCTAACTGTAAGGTCAGTGGCTTGAAACCACCAGCTAGAAAGATGGGGTTTTTCACTCCCCTGAAGAGTTAAGAGTCTTGGAAACTCACAGGGGGAGTTCTACCCTGTCCAGTAGGGTCACTAGGAGTCGTCGGCATCTACTTGATGGCAAGGAGTACCGAGTGTGTTATGGGTGTGTTTTTCACCATACTTAGTCAATCTGGATGCTGAGCAATAGTCCAAGTGCCAGATATGAAGAACTCATGATTGGAGAAAGATTTATTAACAATCTGTCATATGCATATGACAGAACCTTGCTTGCTGAAAGTGACAAGGACATCAATGACTCCAGCCTTCACTAAAGATAGCCCTCAACAAAAAAACTCCAACCAACCTGGCTGCTATCTAGTCTATTCCAACTCCCAGTGTTCCTACAGAACAAAGTACAACTGCCCCTGGGGTTTCCGAGAGACAACCGGCTCTAGATTCACAGGAACATGATAGGGGAGGCTGGCAGGAAATGGGGAGCTAACAACAACCAGTAAGCACAAGGAAGAAGACATGTCCTGGAATTGACTGTCGTGACGGTTGTGAATCTGATTCAACTCTCGAAACGTATGGTAGGTGAATTATGTGTCTCTGAAGTTGTTAAGAATAAACTAATTAAAAAAGAAATCTTTACGGGACTAGAAAGCGTCTTTCGCCCAAGGAACGGCTGGTGGCTTCAAACTGCTAACCTTCTCCTTACCAGCCCAACACGGAAGCCCGTGTGCCTCCTCACAACAGGACCAAGGAGCAACATCCGGGGGACTGCAGAGAAGACCGGGGTTGTCCAGGGTGTCATTTTACTTCCAGCCACAATCCACATGCATGGAAGCTGGACTCGAGAGAGCAAATGACATCCTGCATGGGGCCAGTCTGCTACACAGACCTCTTCAAAGTGTTTACAGCAGCAGTTCTCCACCTTCTTCCTGCCATGACCCTTTAATACAGTTCCTCATGTTGTGGGGACCCTCCAAACCATACAATTATTTTCGTTGTTACTTCATCACTGCCATTTTGCTACTGTTATGAATTGGGCGACCCCGGTGAAAGGGCCTTTCGACCCCGAAAGGGGTCATGACCCACAGGTTGAGAACCGCTGGTTGAAAAGCAAAGCTGTCACTCTGAGGAGTAAGGTGTGCTGGTCAGCCAAGCCCTGACATATCTCACAGTGCCTCCCATGCATCACGGAAGCTGGACAACGAATAAGGAAGCCGGAAGAACGGATGCCTTTGAATGACGGTGTTGCTGCCTCCTGAACCACCTAACCCTGACCCATCGCATCCACTGGGAGCCGTGTTGGTTCAAAAGCACCTCCGCACTGTGCTTAGTTCACAGCTTCGATAGCTTCTCTACCAGCAACAATGATGTCCACTTGTGTCAGCGATGCAGAAGACAATTGCTTAGATGGCTTTAGACATTACATCGTATGCCTGCAATTTATCTCCTGACAGCAAGAAGTCTTTCTTGCCCTCATTCGCTGCAAAAACAGGACAACCTCATTTCCAAACACAATCTAACTGAGAAGGAGGTATTCTGACCCGGGGTTATGTGTGTGTCTGTACGTGAGGGGGCGCGCATGCAAACACCCAACACAGCAACTGCTCACTGAGCATACAGTCCAAAACACACCTACCCGTGCCCACCTCACTTAAGAAAACAGCTGCTTAGGAGAGTGCCTGCATCTAGAATTACAATTCTATCTAGCGAAAACAGTACTTCTGAAACCCTAAAGCTGCAAACATCTCTAATTACAGGGTCAGCACCCACAACAGATAGGGAAAAAAAAGACTTCATTAAGTTCATTAGGTCAACTTACCGTGCCAAGAAGTGTATTCAGTACATTTTAGAACATTTTTTTTTCTTTTTAATATAGATTTTTTTTTTCACGGGCTGGAACGAAACTAAGGGTCTGCCTGAATCACAATTAACCAAGTAACGCAAACTTCCCACCCGCCTCCTTGCTCCAGTTGATGGTTTCCTGTGTGTAAGCACTGTTCAGAATGCTCAAGACCTCTCCCCTCGAAGGATTCCCACACATGGGTCATGACACATAGGAACCAGGTTACCATTTTACCCAGTGCACGGACATTCAATTTAACCCAAACTGCTAAGGGATGGTCTGCCCTGAACGTAGGCAGACATAACAGACCCAAAGTGGCGAGTAACTTAGACTACCTAGGAACTACAAGAGCCATGCAGATGACGGCCTTGTCCCTTCCCCAGACCATTTCCCCAAGCCAGGGCAACAGTGTTATCAAAGCAGAAGGGAAGGCCCCTCTGTACCACACAGTCTTTTAATAGTCCCTGGAGAATAAGCCAGGGAGACAAAGCTGAATCTGTGGGGTAACTATTTAGTGAGCTCTTCATTTGTGCACATTAGCATTTAATACAGTTTTTATACAGACCTACACAATATCCTAGTGAAGGCGGCATATTTCTCTGGGTTAAAATCTTTGGCGGTCAGAACAATAGAAAAATGAGTCACCTGTCCAAAAGAAACAAACAAACAAAAGTACACTTTTTAAAAAGACACTTCAATAGAATTCATTTCTTAATACCACATTCTAACAAGCCTGTTGTATAAGACATGCCAACTTTAAAAGAAGGTCAAACTGCAGTACGAAAGGCCCCATTTGCATCCGTTCTATCTTTCTATGGGCATGCCTGAACAAGGAGACTTCAAAAAGTTTGTGTGATGAGAAGATACAGGAATTTGCCTACCAACTTTTTGAAACTCTCTCTCTCACACACACACACATTTCCTACACAAGAATTCAATACTTAAAATGAGTTGTACCCACCCCCCCAAAAGACATCCCTTGCTAAAAATAAAACCTCACAAAAATATTTCTCAATCTCATGTCACAATGTGAGCTTTTACTTAATGGCCCCAACCTCCTCAAAGCAGAAAACCAGGATGGTTAAAATCCAATCTACCAATTTAGCAAATCTTTTTGCATTAATGACATAAAAAACAAAAACAAAATACATCTCAAAAGAAACCAGACGGTTCCTGAAAGGGTCCCTTCTCTACAAAGTGATGTTTCAAGGGCACTGCTAGAATAAACTTCACTTAATTATAGAGCTCTGTGACTACAGATATACATTCCTGATAATCATATACCTCATAAGCCCATAGATGGAACAAAATCCCAAACTTTACAAAAGGAAAAGCAATTCAAAATCTTTTTCTTTAAATCAATAATCACATTTTAAAATGTAGGAAGTCTCTCTAAATCTTAAAACCAAATTTGCTAGTTTGGCAGTTTGAGATGTAATACATGGGACGATGCACTGGAGAGATGTAGCAAGACTTAAATGATCCATACTCAGAATTTATGAAAAGTACTTTTGCGGGGTACGTTTCCTAATCCTAAGTCTATTTTGGCCTAAAACTGTTTCTCAATCGTTGTCTTCCTGCCCTTTAAAACGCGGTTCCCTAAATTGTGTCCAGTGTCTTGGACTTGCTTCAGTTCCACTACTGGTTATGACACTAGCCCTTAAAGGGGACAATAACTCCCCACCAGGAGAGTACCAGAGGTCCGGTCACTTTTGAGGACAACTTGGTGGATTGGGATAAGGTACATCCATAATGGTCACTTAATGGTTTTCTACTTGTCATGTTGATACTATTCATATCCTCACCCAAAGTCCACTCAACCCATGATTTCTTTAATTTTCCTTTCTAGCTTCAACATATCCTTATTGGGGGTGGGGTGTTCTTTCCTATGCCAACAATAAGTATATCTTTTAAAATCATTTCTCATTATGGGAAAATAATCTTAATTCGTCGTGGTTTTGAAATGACTTCGAGGTTTCGGCCCTAGCGGCGCATAGCCTGACTCGGGACAGAGATCCCACTGCTGGGTTGCTCACGAGTCTGGCTTAGAGTAACGAAAACCCCCCGCCATTGAGTCAATTCCGACCATAGCAACCCAATGTGACAGTATAGACCTGCCCTGTGTGCTAATGAGACTGGAAATCTTTACAAGAATAGAGCAGTTGGTGGTTTCAAACTGCTGACCTTACGGTTGGCAGCTCAATGCATAACCCATTACACCACCAGGGCTCATAGGGTTAGGGCAGATGCCAACAAACATCTACAGAATAAATGAACATGAACTATGAGACAGAACATTCCCAATGGATGGAATATTTGCTGTTTTTCAAGTTTATCATAATTAAGGTCAAAAGCTTATTACTACAACCTTTATCAAACTGATTGTGGTAGCAATTGTACAATTCTGCTTGACATGATTGAACTATGGAATGATATATGTATTAACTCCCAATTAATAATTTTTTTTAAACGATCTTTAATCACTTGGTTGGTTTTCTTCCCCCTTCACTTTTAAGCAGTCATACCTTTTTCAAGACTGAAGAATCTGGAACTTCCACTGTTGTGATATAAAACCATGTCCTTCGGTACTGGCCAAAGACGAAGGGGTGGAGCAGGCTGTTGTCAGCCACGAGGCAGCACTTCCTCAGCAGCAGGGCCCTGAGCGTGGCTGTCGTGGAAGGGTAACACCACACCCACAGAACTTCTCCATTTGTGTCCTTTTCTACGGTGGAAAGACGGTCACTGTGAGAATGCCAAACAGCAGCGAGGGAGTGAGTGCAGGGGTTACTCAGAGGAGTCTGTGGAATCAGTGGTGACACCCCCACTTCAAAAAGCAACCCAAACAGGCGAAACCCCAAACACCCACCTGCCACCACTGGCCAAATGAGGGCACTCGAGGAGAAAGCTTTTACACAATGCGAATGACACTTGCGCCTGAGAGGTTCCAGGGGCCTCCCCACAAACTCTCACAAGCCTCTAAGGACTTTGTTCTTATTAAACTGGAAGCATTCTTAACCAATTCATGGAGAGGGCTTAGGTTTTAAAAATTAGAGATGAGGAAATGGTGAAATCTCAAATCACGTGACATGCTGACTGTATAAATGTTGACATTTCTAATTTTGAAATAACAAAACTTCTCATTCATGCTTTATATAGTTTATTGTAGAAGTCAACACCTTAATAGCAACAAGGGAACAATGTATGAGTAATAAAATCTCCATGTTAAAAGCCATTAAACTTGCTTAAACAGTTACTGCACGTACATGCACAGTAGGAACCCAGTGTTTGATACACAGATCGAAAATTTGTTTTTATTATGGAATAAGAAAAGTATACAAGAAATGGATAAAATTAACTCCTGTTAATCTCCATCACTCGGCCCAGCAAATATCAACACCCTGTTTCATAAGACCTCTCCCCGCTTGTTTTGATCAAATCCCCCAGTAGCAGTGGTATCTACATTTTGTATTTCATGTCAACATGAAAAATTGAAAAATATAAAAATACGACCAAAAGCCACCCTTTTTAAAGTTTTATTTTGCTATTTCCAGATGAAGTCAGTAAAACTTAGTTTTCATGCAGGACTATGTCAGGGCAGGGTATATTTCTGACAGAAGCTCCTGTGTGGATCCTGGCTCAGAGTGACTGGTGGTACACTAGGAGAGAATGCTGCCTGGTCTGGTGCCATGCTCACAATTATTATGTTTGAGCCCATTGTTGCCACCACTGTGTCCATCCATCTCATTGAAGGTCTACCCTTTGGCACTGACCCCCTACTTTACCAAGCAAGATGTCCTTCTCCAGGGATTGGTCCTTTTTGATATATCCAAAATACTTAAGACAAAATCTTGCCTTATCAAAAGACCCCAAACAAACAAAAAACATATTATTGAGAACGAGGGGCATTTGAGTAGAGACCCAAAACCCATCTGTCGACTATGTGACCCTCACAGAAGGATCACAAGGAAGGGATGAGTCTACCAGGGTGCAGCATAACACCAACAAAACACACAATATTCCTCTGGTTCCTTGAGGCTTCCTCACCCTCCACTATCATGACCCCAGTCCTGCCTTTCACTGCTGGCTAGACCAGAGCATGCACACAGGTACAGATAAGAACTCATGACACAGGGAATCCAGGTCAGATAAACCCTTCAAGTAAGAAATGGTAGTAGTGATACCAAGAGGGTAGGGGGAAGGTGGGGAGTGGAGGGGAAGAAAGGGGAATCGACTGCAATGAAACTGTGGGGGAAGGGAACCAGCAGTTGGTATAAGATATGAAAATAATAATTTATCAGTGGGTCACGAGGGTGGTGGGGGGAAGGATGGAAAAATGAGCTGATACCCAGGGCTTAAACAGAAAGTAATGTTTAGAAAATAATGATGGCAACATATGGGTAAATATGCTTGATACAATTAATACATGGATCGTGATAAGAGCTATAAGAGTCTCCAATAAAATATTTTTTTTAAAGTCTTGCATTCCTTTGAGGTGTCCCTAAGTCCCCAAAGTGACATCTTGTTTTAAAAAATATTTTAAAGAGGTCTTTTGCAACAGATTTACCCAATGCAACACTTCCTTTGATTTCTTGACTTTTGCTTCTTAGGGGCCTGGGCTGCGGATATCAGTAAACTGAGACCCTTGGCAATGACAATCTTTCCTGCATTCTTATGGCGTGACTTGGTCCAGGTGTGAGGATTTCTTTTTTTAAATTATTTTTCAAAATCATTTTATTAGGGGCACATACATCAATTGCGTAAAGCACATTTGTACATTCATTGCCCTCAGGGTGTAAGGATTTTTGTTGTATGTAAGCCAAATTGATGGCTGTAGCCTTTGCTTTGTCTTAGTAAGTGCTTCAAGAATGGTTTGCTTTCAGCAAGGAAGGCTATGTCCCCTGCTTAGGGCAGGTTGTTAATGGGTCTAATAAGGACTAAGATGTCTGTGTCCTTGGGTTTTGCCTTGAAGCAGTTTAAAAATCATTAAAAATGAATGCAGAAAGCCATCCGCAGATAAAAGTTCTCCATTGAGGCACTGAAAAACACCAGCACCATTTTCTAGGTGTGGGCTTCCTAAGCAAGGTTCTTTTCACACTGGGGGCATAGCGAGTGTTCATGAGAATGTAGAGACCCGGTGGGGAAACGGACAGATGTTCATTTTCAAGTACTTGGTGCTAGCTGTCACCTTTCGAGGAATGGCTTCTTGAAACATCTGCCCTTGGGTGTCAGGCACACAGCGTAGGTTCCCCAAAGATCCCAACGTACTTCCCCATTCATGACGCCTTCAAATGTCCCCCCACCCTACCAAGTGTGGTTAGACTCAGTCACATAACTCAGTTCTCTTGGTAGAGCTGGGCTTTAGGGCCAGACTGCAAGCGTCCCAACCTCTACCACTGCCCTGGGAGATGGCCGAGCACTTTTGGCACCCAGGGGCTCCCCTTGTACTGTAAAGTGGCTCTCAAGCATTCCCTACACCCACCTGGAGCTGTGTTAAGGGAGGTAATCCCCTGCACAACGCCCAGAGTTAACTCCATGCCTGGAACCGCTGGATCACATGATCTGAGCCCAGCCAGCAGTCACACGCGTGGTTCCCGCGCCCCACTATGGTTCTACTGACCTCCGGCCCACACCCCGCTGCGGCTTGGAACCTGGGAGCCCCCTACTTGCGCACGAGCCCCCGAAGCCGCCAGCGTCTCCAGCCACCGTGACGCACCGCCCTGTCTGACAACCCGGCACACGAGGAGCGCTCTATCGTGGGACCCTTCACGCGGGGAGCCCCACGCGCGGAGGCGGCGGTCGGCCCAGCGGAGGCCCCGAGACCCCGGCTCCGGCTCCACTGGAAGGCCGCGCCCTCCCCCCGCGGGCAGCGCCGGGACGGCAGCCAACGGGGCCGGAGGCTGAGCTGGGGTTCGAGCCTGCAGGGCAGGGCGCCTGCGTCCTCACCGATTAGCCCGACTCCGAGCATCAGCTGAGTGTCCGCCGCCTCAGCCGCTGCCATCTTCCGCTGCCCCGCGCTGCTCCCAGCGTCCCGCTGCAGGTCCTGCCTCCTCGTCTCCGCCGCGCCCCGCCGCACGCCCGCCCCTACTCCGGACTTCCTGTCGCAAGCCCCGCCTCTCCCTGCCAGGCCCCACCCTCCCCCCAGCTTCCTGTTTCAGGCCCCTCCCCTCGTATCTGCCGGGCCTTGCCCTTTTCTGCCGACTTCCCGCCACAGGCCTCGGCCCGCCTCCTTGCTGGGCCCCGCCCCCCCTACTCCCGGTTTCCTGTCTCAGGCCCCGCCCCTCTTCCAGCTCTGGCCTCGCCATAGGCTCTGTCCTTCCTACGGTTCCCCTATCGCCGCAGGCCCCACCCTCCACGCCCCACCCCTTCTCTAGGCCACACCTCCATATGAACCCACGCACGAGGCCCTTTCTCCGGATCCGCCCGTGGCCGAGCCTGCCGGGACTTCCCCTCGGCCTCTCCACGGCCGTTGAGACTGAAGTCCACCAGCCTCGGAAATCTCCCTCGGCATCCACAACCTTCCTTAGTTTGTCGAATCCAGATCGCCCTAACCTATTCCTTTCTCCGTCTCCTCAAGGTTTTCCTCACTACCTCCTACTTTCGGGCCGGGTCAGAACAGGTTATTTGGTTCTTGGAAACTAAGACCTCCTGAGGATAGAGGAATGGAGAGTTAGTCATTCAATCATTCATCCACCTATCCAAAGTACGTTTTTTAGAATCTAGTGTGACATTAGGAAGAAGCTGTGGTGGATTACTCATTAAGCTAACCATAAAGTCAGCGATTTGAACCCACCCAGGTGCTCCTTGGGGAAAGAAACGAAGCTGTCTATTCCTGTAAAGATTTACAGTTTCAGGACAGGGCAAGATATGACAAGATGACAATTTATAAATTATCAAGGGCTCATGAGGGAAGGGAAAGCGGGGAGGGAGGGGAAAAATGAGAACCTAATGTCAGGGGCTTAAGTGGAGAGGAAATGTTTTGAGAATGATGAGGGCAATGAATGTACAAATGTGCGTTACACAATTGATGTATGTATGGATTGTGATAAGAGTTGTATGAGCCAAAAAAAAAAAAGAGAGTTGTATGAGCCCCTAATAAAATGATTTAAAAAAAAAAAAAAGATTTACAGTTTCAGAAACTCAATGGGGCGGCTCCATGAGGTCCTATAGGGTCCCTGTGAGTTTGGGTTTGGTATATGACATTAAAGGAGCTTGGTGGTCTTGGGCTGCAAAATCCCTGCCCTCAAGTCGATTCCAACTCATAGCAACCCTGCAGGACAGGAAAAAACACTTGTGGGTGGCTGTGTGATCACGACATGTCCATGGGGTCAGGTATCAGGCATCAAAGACCCAGAACAAAAAATATCAATGTGAATAGGGGGAGGGGGGCTTGGAGTGGACAGCCAAAGCCCATCTATAGACAATTGGACATTCCCTCACAGAAGGGTCATCAGGGTGCAGTATAACAACAATGAAGCATACAGCTTTCCTCTAGTTCTTTAATGCTTCCTCCCCCTCACTATCATGATCCCAATTTTATCTTACAAATCCAGCTAGACCAGAGGATGTACCCTGCTACAGATAAGAGCTGGAACCACAGGGAATCCAGAACAGATAAACCCCTCAGGACCAATAATGAGAGTAAAGATACCAGGAGGGGAAGGAGAAGGAAAAAGGGGAACAGATCACAAAGATCTACTTATAACCCCTTCCTAGGGGGATAGACAACAGAAAAGTGTGTGAAGAGAGACAGTGTTCAGTGTAAGACATGGAGGGGGCGGGGCGAGCGGAATTTGTAAATTATCAAGGGTTCATGAGGGAGGGAGGGTGGGGTAGGAAGGAAACTGAGAAGCTGATATCAAGGGCTCAAGTAGAAAATGTTTTGAAAATGATGGTGGCAACGTAAGTACAAATGTGCTTGACACAAAGGATATATGTGTATGTAAGGATTGTGATAAGAGCTTTAAGAGCCTCAAAAAAAAAAAAAAGGAAGAAGAAAAAAAATCATTTGTGGCTTTCTGACACTATTTTTTTTTAATCCTTTTGTTGGAGGCTCCAACAACTCTTATCACAATCCATACATACATTCATTGTGTCAAGCACGTTTGTATATTTGTTGCCATCATCATTCTCAAAACATTTGCTTTCTGCTTGAACCCTTGGTATCAGCTCCTCATTTTTACCCCTCCATGGTCCCCCCTCCCTCATGAACCCTTGATAATTTATAAATTATTATTGTTTTTTATATTGTCTGACGTCTCCCTTCACCCACTTTTCTGTGGTCCATCCCCCGGGAGGGGGTCACATGTAGATCCTTGTAATCCGCTCCCCGTTCTACCCCACCTTCCCTCCACACTCCCAGTATCACCACTCTCACCACTGATTCTGAAGGGTTCACCTGTCCTGGATTCCCTGTGTTTCCAGTTTCTATCTGTACCAGTGTACATCCTCTGGTCTAGTCAGATTTGTAAGGTAGAATTGGGATCATGATAGTGGGGGGGAAGAAGCATTTAAAAACTAGAGAAAAGTTGTAGGTTTCATTGTTGCTACGTTGCACCCTGACTGGCTCGTCTCCTCCCCACAACCCTTCTGTAAGGGGATGCCCAGTTGCCTACAGATGGGCTTTGGGTCCCTACTCCATTCTCAATGATATGATTTTTTTGTTCTTTGATACCTGATCCCTTAGACACCTTGTGAACACACAGGCTGGGGTGCTTCTTCCATGTGGGCTTTGTTGCTTCTGAGCTAGATGGCCATTTGTTTACCTTCAAGCCTTTAAGACCCTAGACACTATATCTTTTGATAGCCGGGCTCTATCAGCTTTCTTCACCACATTTGCTTATGCACCTGCTTTGTCTTCAGCAATCATGTCAGGAAGGTGAGCATCATGGAATGCTAGTTTAATAGAACAAAGTGTTCTTGCATTAAGGGAGTACTTGAGTAGAGACCCAATGTCCATCTGTGACCTTAATACTAAATCTATAAATATATGCACACAGATCTATTTCCCCGTCATCATATATAAATACATTTACACATGTACATGCCTTTATTTAGACCTCTATAAATGCTGTTTGCCTCCTCTATTTCCTTTTACTTTCCTCTTGTCCAACTATCATGCTCAGCCTTCATTTGGGTTCCAGCAATTCCTCTCGGTTGCATTGCCCTTGATCAAGCCCTACCAGGCCTCTTCTCTTACACCCTCCGCAACACTGATTTTGGATCACTTGTTCTCTTGTCCCTGGGTTTGTTAACACCACTTCCTTTCCCCCACCTCCCTCTCTCCCAGGTCCCCCCCGGAACCTTCGGTTCCATTGTTTTCTCCTCCAGATTGTTTATCCAGCCTATCTTATTTAGATAGACCTGCAGAGATAATAAATATGCACAAAAACAAGACAGAACAAAGCAAAGTCAAGCAACAAAACAATGACAACAATAAAACGATGACCAAAAAAAAAAGGCTGTAAATAGTTCAAGGTCTTTGTTGACCTTTCGGAGTGTTTTACGGTCAAGTCTCATGGAGTGCCACGCTCTGGCCCCAAAGTCTATTTTTGGTACTCCCTCAGGACTTCCTTGCTCTGCTCCCTTTGCAATTCTGTTGCACACGGTTAGTGTTTTGCCTCTGTGTGGTGGGGTCAGATCGGGTCCCAATTCCCACACTGCCAAAACTAACTCTTTATGGGAGTAGAAAACCTCACTGTGGGGCATCTGGTGGTTTTAAACCACTGACCTTGTGGTTAGCAACTGAAAGCATTACCCACTGTGCCACCAGGGCTTCCTTGGAGGTAGAAAGAGAGGCTTATCTACTCTCATCTTTACAATCGCGGAAATCCTCATAGGGCTGCTGTGCATTGGCATGACTGGATGGCAGTGGGTTGGGTTGGGTTGACTATAACATTGGGAATGTAGAATTGGGCAGCACAGTGCATTCCAATGTGGCAGATGGACAATTATGGAGCAAAAGACTTAACAGCCCAGAGTGATACATGCCCTGAATACAATAAGATGGTGCAGCATGCTGGGAGAGGATGGGTGACCTCCCCAGAGGAAGGCCTGTCTTTGAGGCCACATCTGAAGGAGTGAGCTGATAAAGATCCACGTATTAAAAATGTTTCTGAATGCCATCCTGGATGGTCGGGAGGAAAGTGGGCTCTGGGACAGAGAGCACATATAGAGGTGGTGGGGTAAGACTCATCCGAAGCAAAACTAATCTTCTCTAGAAGCTTCGGAAGGGCATGAAAGCCCAGTCTGAACTAAATGTAGACTGTGACTCTTTGTTGGGCTAACACAGATGTCCAAAGTATTTCAATATAAGTACTCCATTTCATTTATTATAATTGAATGGGATACATTAAACACAAGGGCAAGTCCAAAAGTATTGTGGCCAGGGATTCAGTTCATCCTTGTGTGGTTTTATTTCAGACAAAACGTGTTAAAACATGCCTCCACAATCAGTGGATGACTCCGGAGAAGCTCCCACAGCTATACGTTGTCTTGGTGCTATTTAAGGTACCTTTGAAAAAAGAGGTTGATTCAAAACTAGGGCTTCCAAAGGGATCTCCCAGGCCAATTGGATTCAAGACAGAGAGATGAGTTCAGATATTTACGGTGACTGCTTTTTTGGAGACTCCAAAGAGGTCATCTTGATAGATTCCACCACCCCCCTCCCCAAAGAACATAGGACCACCAGGAGGACTTGTTAGGGAGAAGTTTTACGGATACTAACAGCTGCACCGATGAGGAAAAGGCCAGGAAAGTTGCACTGGGATTTTTTTCCCCCCATCATGATAATGCACCTGTTCATTCCTCAAGGGGAACAAGGGCTGTCCTCTGAGAATGTTGTTGGGAAACCTTAGCCCATCCACCCTACAGCTCTGATCTTGCCCCTTCAGGTTTGTTTTTGTTCTCCAACCTCAGAGGATATTGAAAAGATACATGATGCCAATCCCTCAAGGATGCCATACTGGCGTGGTTTACGTGGAAGAACTCAATGCTTGTTGTTAGGGCCATCAAGCGGATTCTGA